ACCACATAAGCAAAAAGCTGGAAATGACACTGTGGTTCAAGTGGTAGAGCACTAGCCTTGAGCTAAAGAGCTGAGGGACAGCGCCCAGGCCCAGAGTTCAGGCCCCTCGACCGGACCCAAAAAAAAAAAAAAAGATGCTGTACAGAAGGGTTATAGTTACATGAGTAAGGTAATGAGTCCATTTCCTGTCCAACATTGTTACCCCCTCCTTTGTTTTTTTTCCTACTATCCCTTCCCTCCTCCACCTCCCCCACTCCTTCCCCTCACCCTGATAGAACTTTTTAAAAAATTAAATCCTAGCTGGGCTACTGATTTCTGGGTTCCACTTAATACTCTCTTACACCAAGAAGTCAGCATTCTCCTCTTGCCTCTTCTCTTCCTTGCCCAGGAAGCAAGTGGACAAAACCTCATATGGCAAAAGGTGGTCCTCCCAGCCAGGAGTCCTGATCTGGGACTGCTACCAACCTACAGTACTAAGAGGTTTGTCTCATTATCCTTGGCACCTTACTCAAACTTTCAAATAGACTTTGCCTCTGTTCCCACTTAAAAATAAATAAATAAAAACTAAACTTCCTAGCTGGGCACCAGTGGCTTATGCCTATAATCCTAGCTACTCAGGAGGCTGAGATCTGAGGATTGCGGTTCAAAGCTAGCCCAGACAGGAAAGACCATGAGACTCTTATCTCCAATAAACCATAAGAAAACTGGTGTGGTGCTGTGACTCAAAGTGGTAGAGTGCTAGCCTTGAGCTGAAAAGCTCAGAGACAGCGCCCAGGCCTAGAGTTCAAGTCCCATGACTGACAAAAAGAAAAAGAAAAAGTGTTTCTAAGTGAGGCCTAGAAACATTAAGGGACTTATGCAAGGTAAAAGCCAATGAGACTCAGTCTTTACATTCTAGTTAAATGTTGCCTGGAGTTGCATTGCCTAGGTGTTTTCCTGCCTCACTGTGTGGGATTCTGGATGATCCACCCTTCTGCCTCTCCTTAGCCAAGACACTGGATTGTTCCCTGTCCCCCATTAGTCCCCTTGCCCCCATCTCCTGAATGGTGCTAGCCTTTAGGCCTCACCTCTGACAGCAGCTCCAGACTTCTAGTCCCAGTTGCTATCAGAGGCAAATGCTAAGAACAGCTTCTGTGGTTACCCTGTTTCCACACCAGCCAGCTGAAGGTAGAGCCCAACATCTCCAGCATGGAAGCAGCCTCTAAGGATATATTCTGATCCCAGAAAGTGCTTGGCGCTGAAGAGCTCCCCATCTAATTAAAACAACTGAAATCTTAACAGTGTGCAATCACAATTACCCGGGAGAGAATCTTACCCAAGTGTCTTGTAGCTGGTGTATCCATCTCCCTACAGCACACAAGACAGAAGTCATCCACATCAAGGATACCACGTTGAGGATACAGCATAACATCTGGCACACAGAAACCAAGGATTGATTACATAGCCATTTGGTCCTGGCATGCTTTGCCATCTCTAGGCCCAACTCCTCCTTCCTTACTGTTCCTGATATCCTGGCTGCAAACCACCACCCAGTACCCTCCCACTCACCAGGCCCAAGGCCTGCCCCTTAGCACACAGGCCTGGGCAATTTCAATCTACTCTTGCAGTAAGCAAACATTTGCAACACTTGCTGACCTCCAGGTCTTGTTGCATCAGTAGGTCTATACTTGAGGCCTCAGCAGGTGCTAGAGGCACTTAGATAACAGACCAGTAGGGGAGGGGCTGGTATTGTGGGCTCCTTGGCTTCCCTGGCTCCTACTTCCTTTCCCACAGGCATGGAGGGCCTAGCAATCTGATCCATTTAACTATGAGTCTAGGCCTTAGAGGTTCTGCACAATAATGATACATGAGGATTCTTAACTTGGTTTTAAAGTATTACCTTGTTAATACACATTCGTCACAGAAAACACAAATAAGCATAAAGGAAAATTAATTAAAATCACTCCTAGGTATGATTATTATGTTGCTGTATTTCCTTCCAGACACATATAATCTGTATCATCTACACATAGGAGAATTATGTATCATAATATGTTTTTTAATTTAAATTTTATTGTAAAAGTGACATACAGAAGAATCACAGTTACATAAGTCAGGTAATGAGTACATTTCTTTTTTAACATAACATGTTTTCTAACTATTTCCCCCTATATTAGTCATTTGTTGCTGTGTAAAAATTTACTTTGGAACTTAAGAGAAATTCAGCACTAGTGACTCTCATCTGTAATCCTATCTACTCAGGAGCCTGACATTATGAGGCTCTTGATTTGAAGCCAGCCCAGGCAGACAAATCTGAGAGATTCATCTCCAGTTAATCAGCCAAAAGCCAGAGTAAAGGTGTGGCTCAAGGGGTAAAACACCATCTTTGAGCAGAAACTAAGAATTTAGAGACTTAGAGAATAAGTGTCTCATGTTGTTTCTGTGAATCAAGAATTCAGAAGTGGCAGGGCCCATGTGGTGGGACATGTCTCTAATCCTAGCTACTCGAGAGGCAGAGATTGGTAACATCACAATTTGAGGCCAGCATCACTTGGCAAAATGTTAGCAAGACCTCCCCTTGTAACCAGTAGTCTTAGCATCAACAATTGTAATCACTGAGAAATAGGTAGTAGGCCAGTCCTGAGCAGAAACAGGAATACTACCCAAGAAATAACTAAAACCCAAGAGGAAGCCTGAGGATACAGCTCAAGTGGTAGAGCATCCACCTAGCAAGTGCAAAACCTTAAGTTCAAACTCCAGTACCACAAAACAAAAACAAAAACAAGACCATAAGTAGTATCTTAGTGGGCTGGCGTGAGGTCTCTCCTGAGGTCCAATCAAGGGATTAGCTCTGGCTGCATCATCTGAAAGCTTAATTGGGGCTGGTAGATCTAATGCCAGGGTGCTGATCACATGCCAGGCAAGAGCTGCCTACTGGCAGAGAGCCTCACTTCTTCTTGGTACGTCACCTCAAAGGATCTGAGTATCATGACAGAGAAGTTGAACTCCCCTCCCTCCCCCCCCCCCCCGCAGAAGCAACATGAGGGTGAGAAAGGCAGGAAAGAGGAAAGGCAGGAGATGTAGTGAATTTCATGGCCCATCCTCCAAAGTCATGCTCCATTATTTCTGCCTTATCATGTGATTTACCCAGGTTATACCAATTCAACATGAGAGAAGGCTGTTTCAGAGACTCAGCTTGGTGGAGAATCACTGGAGGGGTGGCTGTCACATTCTCTTTGAAGAGATTGTCACAGACATCTTCCCTCACTAACTACAAAAGGGCAACTTTACCATTTGTAATGGTTGCATATAAATACAGCATAATGTTTTAACCGATCCCCTGTAGTTGGATATATACATCATGACACATTTTTTGATACTAGAATGAATGATCTTGACTATCCATCACTGAACTTGTCAAACTGTTTGCTTGAGATAAATGAAACAGAAAGTCAAATCATGCCTATAAATCGGCATGGCAAGTGAATAATGGATAGGCTACATCAACAAGAACATAGAAAATCTGCTCTTCCTTTCTCTCTTCATTAAACAGGGAGTTCATAGCCTGTCATGGTGGTACACATCTGTGATCCCAGCGCCTTGTTGAGGCAGGAGGTACTGGTGAATGAGAGGGGATTGTTCTCAGGAAAGGAGTCTGGGGAAGGGTGCTTGTTGCTCTAAGTACAAGATCTTCAGCCAAACCAGAAAGGGGGTACTGGTTTGCCTCTGGCCCTGCCTTATTCTTCATCCTCTAATCCTACCGCTAGATTCTTGGAGGGTTTAGATCCTCCTCTCTTGTGCTGTGGGTGGTCCCAAGAGAAGGGCAAAACCCCTGGGAAGCTGCTGCTTCATCTGGCAGGACCAAAATCTGGCCAATCCAAACCCAAGCATAAGTCCTGCCCCCAGAGCAAACAGGGACCCAGAGCCAGAGGCAGAGTGGTCGATGACTTATCACATGAGATCTGGTGAGGCCATCTTTGCTCTATTTTGGGAAAGGGATCAATCATGTCAAGGGATGACCACACTGGCCATTGGTAGAGAGCCTGGCACTCTGACAAGGCACCCTCTGTACCCTGACCCACTTGCCAGCTGCAGCTAATTTTAGCAGAATTTGACAGTTGCCAGCAAGTTCAGGGTATTTCAGGGTAACTACTGGACAAACCCAGGGAGGAACTTAGGGGGATTGTCTGTACCTCATAGATGAGCCGAAAATGAGCCCAGAGGCTGAACTTTGCAGTCACAAAACCTAATGACTTCCCAGTTCATTTCTTGTCTCAATTAAAGGCAACTTGAAAAAAGGCCTGTTGTTGACAGCTGAAAAGTCCTGACTATATTGTGGATTTTTATTTAACTTGGGGGTTATCTCAGAGCAGCTCTAAATACAGAGCTTGTGAATGCAGTGTGCTCTCCTTCACTTCCATTGTGACATGAACCATATTCTTCCTGTAACAGCTTTGGCCTTCCTACATTAGCCTGTGCCTTCACACTCAAAAACCATGCAGAACTCCAGTCTATATGAAGCACATCTGATCTCTCTACAGATGGAAGTCCATGGAGTCACATAGCCTCCAAAAGCAAGTCCAAATCCTCCTAGGCCAGGCCAGGCTCTCAGTACCCCTTGCTTCTCCTGTCCTCAGGCAACCCAGTGAAACTCTGAATTCCAGGGTAGTGGGTAGACAAACTGGCTCTAGGCATGTCCTCACTCTCTCAACTGACCTATGCTCAGAGGACATGGCAGCCTGCCCTGTAGCCCTGTCCTCACGGCCCTGTCAATCCTGATCCAATGTGGACCTCTTCTGCCCTTCCAGCCCTGCCCCTGCCCCTGTAGCAATGGGCAGAGTATTTAAACAGCCACAGGCTGGGGACTCTTTAGTGCAGAAATTCTGAGCTGTCTGCATTGGGCAACTTGTATCAAACAGTCAAGTTCTTACCTACCACAGGTAGCCACCAACGCTGTGATTTGGGGACTAAGCAGTCAGGAGCATCTACCACAACTACCTCCTTCTTGGCCCCTCAGAGAGATGGCAACGGATGCCACCAGGAGCCAAGCCCAGACAGCCTTGACTTTGGTAAGGGTTGTTTAAAGCCCAGGGGCCTTAGCTTGGGAGGGCAGCTCCATGCCCAGCACCCCAGGTTTTATAGAATCCAGATAGGGGAAGAAGGCACTGGGCTGCTTTGAAGAAAGCATACAGGCCTCCAGGGGTCTTGGATATGGCCCCTTTCCCTAGCACCGTCTGTCTCCTCACTGGGAGCACCATTGTCTACCTTTCAAGGAGGCCTAGGGAACTTGTTCTTGGGCTGACAGTGCCTGGACTGGGCTTCTCCCAGTGCTGTCTGCCCTCAGGAGATCTTCTTCAGGGAAGAAGGTGGGATTCTCTTCCTCGGGGAGTTTGTTGGTGGAAGCCCAGGGTCACTCACTATTGCAAACACAGCCCAAAACTGGAGCAGCAACCCAAGGATCCTGACTATGGGTGGATGCATAGGGACTGACTTTGGGGGCCAGGAATTTGAGCACTTACCAATGGGCTGACATGGCCATTGACTGTGGTCCCTGGTACCCTGGACTACCCTCGCAGTATTAAGATGAGCCTCATTAGTCAAACATGACATTTGGTGACTTATATTTTACTGTGTTTTGGGGTGGGATCTCAGAGCCTGCCCAGCCTGCTCCATCCTTCCCTTTGCTGTCCAGCTTGGGCACCCCAGTGACCTCATCCAGGCTTTCCTTTGGCTTTTAAGACATCTCATACTGATGACTTCCAAATGTATTTATCTCCTGCTCTCATTCCCCTGAACTCTGGCCTCATATGGCTAGTGTAGGATAAATGTTTCCTATATAGGAAGATGGTTAACATACCTATACCAACCTCTGATTCTCTCACCTGCCTGACCCCAGTGGAGCCTCTTCTTCTAGCTGCTCAGGCTGATCCATGGGTCCTTCTAGGTTCTTTTCTTCTTCATGCCTCAAACCTCCCATAGTGTATTTGTATATGATTATCACTGCCCCTTCCTGCATCTTGTTCATGTATCTGGATTGTTGGGACAGCCCAGAATTTCTGCAGCTTCTGCTCTGCTTCAGATACTTCCACTCTGTACCCAGGAACCTCCAGGTTTCTTACCCCAGAGCCCCCTTCACAGTTTTCGGGGTCACTCTGTTCTCTCCTCAATGAAGAACTGCTGCCCACCTTCTAGAATACATTGGTTACCTTCTTTCCCATTCCTATATCCTGCTATATCTGCTTTAAGGACTCCTCACCCCACTTGCTCTTCAGATATCTGCTGAAGAAGTATGTCAGATGTCCTGTAGGCAGCTGGGAGCAAGAAAAGCCCTGTTTGCCTATGGCTGTGGACCTTGGTTATGTATCCTGGGACCTCTTAGTCAAGGTTGGTTAGAGGCCTTTGTGAGCTGCCTGAACTTGTTCCCTTCCATTCCTCTGGCTCCCATGCAGGTCAAGCTCTGTTTGTGCTTTTCTTTTTAGCTATACCTGTGAGGCTAGATGGCTTCTTGGGGCTCTTCAAGCAGTGCCCATATCACCTAGTCTGTTAATAAAGTCTTATAAACTTGTGCAAACATCTAGTATGAGTCTCATGAAGTGACCCTGGTAGATTCCTGGGCCTAGGACCCAGGAAGCATTGGAGGTTGGGGTCTAGTGGTATTGTGGCAAGCTCAGAGCCAGTGCCTGAGTTCACACCCCAAGCTCTGCACTCCCAGCTCTATGCTGTGGGGTTGGAGAAGGGCTTGTTTTCTGTATACTGATGACTTCCATGTATATCTCCAGCTCGCATTCCCCTGAACTCTGGCCTCACATGACAGTCTGTTTTTAGGGCAAATGTTTCCTAGGCAGGAAGATGGTTAGCATTTTGTGTTTGTGAGAAATGTAGATGATAAAATCAGGTCTCAAAATGATTTGGGAATGGTAGGGAAGATCTGTGGGTGCCCAAAGTAGGTGTGGCCAAAGGTATCTGCTCCTGGGGCATTCCAGGAGGAAAGTGAGCAGACTTCTGCCCATTCTCCCCCTCGCATGCCCAGAGCCTTGAGAATTATGAGGCCATACCAGGGTGCCGCTTCCTCTGGGTTGCACACTGACCCAGTGCCAGGAATAGGGGCATTTCCAAGCCCAATGCACCTTGGGGGAGAGACAGCTCATGAAAGCTGAATCCCCAGATGGCTCTAGCTGTAGAACCTTCCAGACAGCACAGGAATAGGAGTCAGCATCTACCTGTCTTCTAGTGGAAAGCCTTAGAGAAGTTACTTGTGCTGAGGTCTCAGGAGAAAAGGATGGTTTGAGAGCCATTGGCTGATTAGATTGTCAGATGGATGTGGACTCCAATGGCAGAGCATCCCTGCCTGTCAAGCAGAAGGGAGAACTTAGCCAGCCCTTGGAGTGTCCAGTGAGAGAGTGATAAATGAAAAGATGGCATCTGCTTCTATTGTCTATTGGATAAGGGTTTACAGGATGTAGTAGAGGCTTTGTGGTCAAACAGTGTATGGGCCGCTGTGATGAGATGGGTGGAGGGGTAAGCTTGGTGGAAGAGAGGGAGTCACCTGAAAACCCACCACTTGACCTTTGTCTCTTCCTGGTTATCAGTCTCCAGAGCCTGAAAAGAGATTTGGGGGAGTTCCCAAACCAGATTTTCAAGGGGACAAGTCAGCACTTCTAAATTCCTACAGACCACGCCTCCTTTTGTTGTTGTTTCCTTAATGAAAGCACAGAAAGAGAGGCATAAAGAGTGAATGTTCAGGTGATTGGATGGTGCTATTAGGGAAGAGGTGAGAAGGAGGGATTCCTCAAGTGGACCTTTTGCAGCCTCTAGAGGAATTTTGCCTTAAGGGAGAAATTAACAATCCAGATTCTAAAGTGAGTTGATTCAGGAAAGAGAAAAGGAATGGATTATTGTATGAGTCCCAAAGACAAAACAAAGGACAGGTTTGTTCTGGGTATGCTAATTATTTAACTGCTCTCACTATGGGTATTTGAATGGAGAGAGAGAGAGAGAGAGAGAGAGAGAGAGAGAGAATGAGAGAGAGAGATTATCTTTTCAGAGGAGGCTAGGTCAGCCACACAGGCATGGCACAAGGGTGAAGGTAGACAAGAGGGAGTTTACTTAGAGAACAGACAGAAAAAAGGGCCAGTAAGGAAAGCAAAGAAAGCCTGAACATGTGGAACTTTTGAACATTTACCATTGCACTGGCAGAAATTGTCCAGATCTTTGAGAGTATTGTAATATAGTCAGATTTGATTGCAATAAAAAAAAAATGAGTCAAGCCAGGAGCCAGTGCCTCGTGCCTGTAATTCTGAGTAAGGAGGCTGAGATCTGAGGATCACAGTTCAAAGCCAGCCCAGGCAGAAAAGTCCATGAGACTCTATATCTCCAATAAACCACCAGAAAAACCAGAACTGGCGCTGTGGTTCAAGTAGTAGATAACTCAGTCAGGTGTCAGTGGCTCACGTCTGTAATCCTAGCTATTCCGGAGGCTGAGATCTGAGCATTGCGGTTCAAAGTCAGCCCGAGCAAGAAAGTCCATAAAACAGCGCCCAGGCCCAGAGTTCAAGTCCCACAACTGACAAAAAAAGTGGTAAAGTGCTCGCCTTGAGCTGAATAGCTGAGGGACAGCACCCAGGTGCAGAGTTCAAGCCCCATGACAGACAAAAATAAAACAAAAAAAAACCTAACAAAACAAACAAAAAGTCATTTTGGCTTTATAGACTCTTTTAATAGAAAAACACTTAGAGAATGTAGGAAACACCCAAAGGGAGTGTCCCAACTCAGGAGAGACTGATTGGGTCCCATTGGTATGGGAGGCAAAAAGGAAAAGTCAGGTGAGGATATAGAGGGATCCATGAGGGGGCGGGGGGTCCATGAGGACATAGGAAGAAGGAGGCAATGATGGAAGGCATCCCTATCCACCTAAGGTCTCTCCAGCTGAGAATTAAAGTCTCAATTCAGGCAACCCCGAAGCAAGAGACTGTCCAAAAGGTATAGGGGATTCCTCTGGCATGGTGCCACATTGACAGAAGAGACAGACAAACAGAAGGTCTGTATATGGGAGTCACAAGCCAGATGTAGAGGGGAGACAGTGTGGTTGATGCACGGCCAAAAATGGTAAATATAAGAGGTCTGACTTGGGGTTCCTTTGGCAGTTTGAGTCCTAGGAGTAGTGGCCAGTAGATGGATGGACCCTCGGAGAAGCAGAGAGGATCCAGCAACTCCTGATGCTATCTCCCCTCCCTCCACCAGGTTTCAGCACTAGATATAAGGTTTGCCGAAAGGAGACCACCACATGGTTCAGGCAGAAGCATACAGAGAGAGCCAAACTGCACTCTATGGTAGGGTACAGCAGCCTAACTAATGATGGAGAGAGATTATAAAATGAAGGGTGAGAAGGAGCTGTAACTGCAGCAGATGAGGAAATGACCTCCGAGCCTGGAGGAGTTCCCACTGACCTGCAGTGCAGTTACCTGGTGATTACAGGTGCTGTTCAGTGACTTCTATAGAAGGCCACATGCAGTTTCGCACAGAGAGAGAGCAAACGGGAAGGAGTCTATATGTGACTCCACATGAAGAAAAAAAAAGAGGAAAAAACAAAGGGGCCATTTTCTCAGGCAGACCATACAGGAAGCACTCAGTTTGGCCTGGCACGTTGCAAAGATTGAGTGAATGTTCAATATTACTGCTAGCGAAATGAGCTCCCTTCCCATAGCTTAGTACACTCACTCCCCTCTCCACAGCTTAGCATGCTCCCCTCCTAGGCAACACGAGGCCCATGTAGTAAAGGCATTAAATAATCAGCCCCAACCCCCTTTACCTTGGGATGGCACTCCTCTGGGGCAGCTACCACCATATAAGGCAACAAGAGCCCCTTAGAGTGACCTTCAGGTCTGGGCAGCTGCAGGGCCCCTTATCTACTATTTGGACAGTAGCCATAAATCCTAGTCCACCATGATGAAGCCCTTGGTCCTCACTCCACACCAGGGTCTTCGCCTCCTAGCCCCTTCTAGCCCCTCCTAGCCTCAGTAGGTTATGTAGGTCACTTCAGACAATAGCCTGTATTCTTCTCACTCCTCTCTTGTGAGAAGGGGTTTTGCCAATCCCTTTGCTGGCAATAAACCTTTCTTTGTTCTTTGTACCGGGATGTCTGCATGATTTTCTGGCAAAGTCTAATTTAAATCTATGAATTACTAATATTACTTCCTGGAAAATTCTATGTTCACCAGAGTTTTTGACAGCCTTGTTCAGTTTGGACCTTCCCTGGGTTTAAATGATAAATATAAGGATCTGTTTAAGAAAAGTGGCTCAACTAATCTGTCCATTAGGAATGTTTTAGATAGCAGGAAACCAAAACTGCCTGTGGCTGAAGTAGTTAGGATTTGTTCCATCACCAGCTTACAGAGGTGGGTGAATCTGGCATCCTTCTCTCCTCTGCCATCTGTAGACTGCTAACATTATCCTTTCCCTCCAGTCTTGCCTCCTCATAGTTGCAAAGCAGCAGATGCAAAATCAGTCACTCATTCTTACATAGCCATGGTTGCAAATTTAGAGTAACACTGAACTTTCCCCTTCCTGCTAACATCAGGCTTCCTTTCACTTGTCATTAACTGGAACTGGGTCATATGTCCAATCACCGATGTTTTGCCTGAGAACATCTTAGTTCTAAAAACTAAGGGAGGAGGCTGGGAAGGTGGCTCAGTGGTAGAGTGCTTGCCTTGCATGCCTGAGGCCCTGGGTTCGATTCCTCAGCACCACATAAGCAAAAAGAAAAAAGCCGGAAGTGGCGGAACGCTAGCCTTGAGCTGAAGAGCTGAGGGACAGTGCCCAGGCCCAGTGTTCAGGCCCCACGACCGGACCCAAAAAATAAAAAAATAAAAACTAAGGGAGGAGTAAGGGGCTGTTTGGCTGCCTGGCTGTCATTCAGAGTCTCTCTAATCCCTTGAGTTTATGTGCAAGACAACAAGCATGCAAGATCTTCCAAAGACTGGGTCTACGGCTTTTATCAGCTTATCTTTCCTTTTTGGCTCAAAATTACAATATCTTTGTGATGACCTTTTTTATTATGCCCAGAGATAATTAGTGTGTCCACATGGCCTCTTCTCCATGAACAAGAACTCTGCCCATCTGCAGGGAGCAGCTAATGGGGGATGTGCAGGCAGAAAAGTAGCTGCACTCACAGCCTGACCTCACGCCACCTTGTGGTCATACCTTGGCCACCCACACTCATGGAAGGCAATGTTGAATCTGGCTTCCAGCACACAGGCTCCTCACATGATGGAGACCTCTTCCCTCTGGCTCAGAATCTGCATGCTGTGGGTAACCACACTTTGCAAGCATGATTGTGGATAGGCACTATAGTTACTCCTACTGGCTTGGCCTTGGCTAAATCTGTGCACACTGGTGTCAGCTGGCCCATTTGTTTCATAAAGTCCTAGCTGGCTTTTTTTTTCCTTTTTTCTTTTTTGGTAGGTGGGTGCCAGTCCTGGGGCTTGAACTTAGGGCCTGTCCCTGAGCTTCTTTTGCTCAAGGTTAGTGCTCTACTACTTGACCCGCAGCTCCACTTCTGGTTTGTGTGTGTGTGTGTGTGTGTGTGTGTGTGTGTGTGTGTGTGTGTTTAATTGGAGACAGAAATCTCATAAACTTTCCTGCCCCTGGCTGGCTTTGAACTGTGATCCTCAGATCTCAACCTCCTGAGTAGGTAGGATTACAGGCATGAGCCACTGGCACTGGGCTCCTAGCTGGATTTTATGCAGTAATACCAGCTGCCTATCCCCTGACAGGCCCAGCTCTCTCAACAGTCCCTCACTTAGAGCTCTTCTCCTCTGAACTCCCAATCTGAGAGGCAAAGGGAGGTGCTACAAAGCATTGTAGCACAATGATAGTGTCAGATACAAAACCATCCTGCCCCTACCTGCTCACCTCTTTAGCACTCCAGTCTGCTTGTTGAAAGGCTGGTCTTGGAGCAATTTGAATTTCACTATGGTAAGTAGTTTGAAAGGACAGGTCATCCTGGACATAGTGGTGAGAAGAGAAGGGAATGCTAGGTTTCTGGCTGTTCTCACACACACCCTTCCTGCCCCTGTTCAGGCGGAGCAGATCCTGGCAGAGTTCCAGCTGCAGGAAGAAGACCTAAAGAAGGTGATGAGGAGGATGCAAAAAGAGATGGATCGGGGTCTGAGACTGGAGACTCATGAGGAGGCCAGCGTGAAGATGCTGCCCACCTACGTGCGTTCCACCCCAGAAGGCTCAGGTACCTCAGGGATGGCTCCACATCTGAGCCAGCTGTTGGCCAGGTCCTTCCAGAGGCTCAGCTATTCCCAAACAAGACTCGTGACAAGCAGTGGTGGTCCCTAACTTACTGGATTGGTTCTCAACCCTTGACTCTGCAGGTCTAGCCTACAGCTCTCAAGCTTCAGAAAAGTTGCCTTTTTCTATCTCCTAGTAAAAGGCTTCTCTCAGTGATCACTTGGGGACCAAAGCTCTGTCCCATGTCTGGACCAACACCCTAGGTCCTCATGACTACTTGACCCCAGACTAGAGCTCTCTAAGGCAGGGGCTTCCCACTGATATCTCCCAACTTACCTATGTCTCCTCCCACAGCTTGCTCTGGTGTATTATCCCGTTCCCCCCAGCACCTGGGCTGGCAGCCCCTCACCCAGCTCCCCTGGGGTCCTCTACCTGCCCTTCTCGTCTCCTATGGTCCCAGGGTCAGGTGTTCAGGTTCTAACCAGCCCAGGACTGCCAGGAGATGCCATGAAGCTGAGTATGTCTCCCTTTGCCTACAGAAGTTGGAGACTTCCTTTCCCTGGATCTGGGTGGCACCAACTTCAGGGTGATGCTGGTGAAAGTGGGGGAAGGGGAAGCAGGGCAGTGGAGTGTGAAGACCAAACACCAGATGTACTCCATCCCTGAAGACGCCATGACAGGCACTGCAGAGATGGTGAGCATCTTGGGGAGGGGTGGGTTGGAGAGAATAACTGGGAGTAGGGACTAAGGTTACCAGGATCCCAGAACATGGCAAGGCCTCACCAAACAAGGGCAACTGTGGACAGGAGGGCCACCAGCCTCAGAGGCCCAGGAAGGCAGCTCAGAAGAGCTCAGTGGACATATGCAATGTGTCTCTCAAGTCTCACAATCACCATCTTACAGCCAGGAACAAGGAAGGATCAGTGACAGGAGAAGCCCCAACCAGTGGTACCTCCTCCCTTGTCCAATTTCCTAGAGGAAAAATGAAAGCATAAGGACAGGACAGCAGGAAAATACACTTGTCCAGCCTCCTGCAGCCTATGAAACATCCTTCCCAAAGGCTGTCCCTTGCCCTCCAACAGGTTCATGCCAAGAGGAGTGACCCAAGGTACAATATCTGCCCAAGCAGCAAGGCCCTCTGAGCAAATTAGTAGAATGAACCCTGGGAGGTAGGGGGCGGGGTGGACAGTGGTCCTGAACATGGATAGGCACAAGGGAAATCCAATTCCCAAAGGTACTGAATCTGAAGATAAGAAACTGCCTCCTGAAGCCCAGTCCTCAACACTATCAGCTTGCTGTCTGTCCATGGAATTGGCACAATTTGAGGCAGCAGCAGTGGGAAGGGCATACCCACCTGGTTCATTGACAAAGCATTTATCCAGGCTCAGTCCTGTGGGCAGAGGCTATGGCTGACCTTCAGCAGGGGCCAGATGGCAGGACACCTGGAAATGGCAAAAGAGACAAACATCATAGGTATGGTTGAGAATGTGTCTCTACCCAGAGCCTCACAGAACACCTAGCCGGCCTGAGGCTGGACCTCATTGGGTCCAGAAGAAGGAAGAGGGACTGGGCTGGGAGTATCATCCTGTGTCACCCTACTCCCAGGGCTTCAGTGGGCAGAGTTCTACATCACATAGGTCTAGGGCCTGAGTCCCAACAAACAGCAAGGAAGGGGGGCAGTTGCAGACAGACCTGGTACCCAGTGGCAGGCCCTGGCTCTGACATCTCACAAACCTCAAGGAACACCTTAGCAGGGAGGGCTTCTGTCTGGCTCAGCCTTAGCTACTTTGGTATATCTCTCAGCTCTTTGACTATATCTCCGAGTGCATCTCTGACTTCTTGGACAAGCATCAAATGAAGCACAAGAAACTGCCCCTGGGCTTCACCTTCTCCTTTCCTGTGAGGCACGAAGACATCGACAAGGTGGGCCAGGTGGAGGGCAGGGCAGATGATAGAGACATACCCCAAATGAACCCTACCTCATTCTGCCTTAAAACACAGCTCCCATTCCCCCCCACACACACACCTCTTATGTTAAAAGGGCCTCAGCCCAGAGTGGGTAAATGTAGATTTGAGTTGTTGCCCTATAATCCTTCCTTCCTATGAAGCCTCAGAAAATAAGTGCACTATCATCTAGTTCTTATTGTGTGGCAATCCTCCCCACAACCCCAGAGGCATGTGCTGTAGTCACCCCAATACAGATGAGGAAATAGGTTAAGCAATTTGCCCACAGTGGGCAAAGGCAGCTGGCCATTTGAATGATCTCTAAAGTTACTACCATCACTATACTTTACCACCTCTGGCTGAGTCACAGATATGACAGGAGTGAGATTTTACCCCACCTGCCAGTTACATTTATATATATATATATATATATATATATAGAATATATATAAAATATAGAAATTACACACATATGCATTACATGTGATTACATGTCCATATGCCTATCTGTACATATACACACAATATTTCTGTATCAATGTATATGTTATGTGTATACATGTCTATATATATACATTTATGTATTATATATACATTCATCATACACACACACACACACACACACACACACACACACACACACACAAACATGAGACCTCTGGATCAGAGACAAAGCCAGGTTATGGCTCCAGGCAAAACAGCATCCAGAACAACATCTCACATGGTTTCCCAACCTCCAGTCCCCACAGAGAAGCAGGGAGGGTTGAATGGGATCTTGTAGTGTAGCAGTGTGTCTTACAGGAGAGAAACTCTGATCTTACACATCACTGTTCTCCATTGAGAGCTACCTTGACTCTGGGGTGACATCTCTGAGCTTTACAGTTCAATGTTCTTGCTTTAGGGGTGTTACTCAGTGGTGGAGTGTTTGCCTAACATGCTTGAGGCCCTGGGTTTGATCCCTAGCACTGCAAAAGAAAAAAACTAAAAGTATCCACTTCGGCACTAGTGGCTCACACCTGTAATCCTGGCTACCAGGAGGCTGAAATCTGAGGATCCCTGTTCAAAGCTAGATAGATAAATCTGAGAACCAGTTCAGGCAGAAACATTTGTGAGACTCTTTTCTCCAATTAGCCACCAGAAGCAAAGCTCAAGTAGCCTTGAGGGGAAAAAAATCTCAGGGAACAGCACCCAGACCTTGAATTCCAGCCCCAGTACCAGCACCAAAAAGAAAAAAAGGTATCACATTCTTAGTTGGCTGGATATTAGCCCTTCAGAAACATGAGGTGTTTGTGGAGAATCCTTCCTAACACCCCTATAAGATTTACAGCTACTCAGAGCCTGTTTTCTCAACCAGATGTGTAAGGTGGCATGTGTGCCCTATGGCCCAGGAAGCAGATGGTTTAAGGTCAGAGCTCACTGCCCAGTACCAGTAGCCACATGGCCTTCTGCTTCCCACAGGGCATCCTCCTCAACTGGACCAAGGGCTTCAAGGCCTCTGGAGCAGAAGGGAACAATATCGTGGGGCTTCTGAGAGACGCCATCAAGAGGAGAGGGGTGAGGATGCCTTTGCCTGCATTGGCTGCAGGGGCTGCCCTGGAACCCCAGCCCTGCACTGTTGGACCCTCTCCCCAGCTCCATCATTGTAGTCCCTGTACTTCCTGGCAGGACTTTGAGATGGACGTGGTGGCAATGGTGAACGATACAGTGGCCACAATGATCTCCTGCTACTATGAAGACCGCCAGTGTGAGGTCGGCATGATTGTGGGTAAGAGCTCCTTGCATTCTGCCTCTGCCCAACCCAGGCTGCATTGGGGCCCTGTAGAGTGAAGGCCAAAGCAGTAACAATTGATGCCAGTTGGTTCAGGGCCTTGGGCCTGAATCAGGTGGCCTTAGGCGTAGTAGGGTAGGTACTGCAAGTTGGTGGGAGGCATTTCAACCCTGGCAGTCTATTAGTCAGTTCACCAGCTGCACACCTGTCCAGCCTATCGGATGTAATTAAAATACTTTATCCACTAAATTGACCACAGTAAGGCAGATTTATCCAACTGGAAGAGAATAAGCAAAACTGGCCTCATCCCCCGGCTGGGAAGGTGGCTCAGTGGTAGAGTGCTTGCCTTGCATGCATGAGGCCCTGGGTTCGATTCCTCAGCACCACATAAGCAAAAAGAAAAAAGCCGGAAGTGGCGCTGTGGCTCAAGTGGTAGAGCACTAGCCTTGAGCTGAAGAGCTGAGGGACAGCGCCCAGGCCCAGAGTTCAGGCCCCACGACCGGACCCAAAAAAAAAAAACAAAAAACTGGCCCACCCCTTCCTCCTAGCCAGGGGCAGGGACTCAACACCAATCCTGGGGCTTTCCCAGAATTTCTGATAAGGAACTTCTTATAAGGAGCCAGCATTTCCTGAGTAACAATGGACTCAGATCACTTACCTGCTATGTACACAGGTGTAGAGGTGTTTTCTAGACTCTCTAGGCCCTGCTTACCCAGAAAGTCAATGTTAAAGTTATATGTCCTTCAGAATCAGCTCTGAACAATGTCATGTGCTCATAATTCCCATCTACAATTATATTCACTCAAAATTTGTGTATACATATATATACATTATATCTATACATATATACACAGGCTACAAAGATGTGTAACTTTTAAGCTTTAAGCTCCAGCCTGACCTTACTTTGTTTTCTATTTCCTGCTTGTGTGTATGTCTGTGTTATGTATGTGTGTGTGTTCAGGACCTTGTGCTCTCACTTGTTTTTTTTTTTTTGTTTGTTTGTTGTTATTGTTGTTTTGCTCATAGCTGGATCTCTACCATTTCAGTTATATTTCCACTTATGGCTTTAGATTTGTATGCCCAGGCTGGCTTTTGAACTGAAATCCTCAGATCTCAGCCTCCTGATTAGCTAGGGTTACAGGCACGAGCCTCCAGCATCTGGCTTTGTTTCCTTTGTGTGTGTGTGTGTGTGTGTGTGTGTGTGTGTGTGTGTGTGTGTGTCCCACTTCTAGGTCTTGAACTCAAGGCTTGGGTGCTGTCCCTGAGCTATTTTGGTCAAGGCTGTGCTCTATCACTTGAACTACAGCTCCACTTCAGGCTTTTTTTTTGGTAGTTAACTGGAGGTAACTGACTGATATTTTTCCACCAACAAAAGTCTTAGTAATTTACGAACATTGGACTCCATGTTTTCCATTTGCACAGGACAAAACATAAGAAAAACTCTGCACCAATTCTGTCTACAGTAGCCCGTGAGCTATTGCAAGGGCCCTCATGGTGGCTTACTCACTTTGAGGTGCCCCCAAACAGATGGAAAGAAGGGCTTAAATATGTTCATAGGGAGTGCCAGAAAACAAAGAGTGGGACACAGACTAGACAAAACCATATTATCCCACATCCAGCACTAGTTGGCAAAGCACATGGGTCCACCCTGCTTCCTTCTGTCTTCCTCCTAACAACCCAGGTAATGGGCAAGGAAGGTATTCCTAGCCCAGTGGATAGCTAGGAGACTGCCCCTTCCACCCTGAGTACTAAATCCAGCCCAGGCCTTCCAGCGTGCCCTCCCCCAATGCAGCTCTCATGCCTCCATCCCTGTAGGCACTGGCTGCAATGCCTGCTACATGGAGGAGATGCAGAATGTGGAGCTGGTGGAAGGAGACGAGGGTCGCATGTGTGTCAACACTGAATGGGGTGCCTTTGGGGACTCAGGCGAGCTGGATGAGTTCCTGCTGGAGTATGACCGCATGGTGGATGAAAGCTCAATGAATCCCGGTCAGCAGCTGTAAGGAAGTCCCCCTTCCTCCCTTCCATCCATTCCTGGGCTGCTCCCCAGCAGACAGACGCTGGGCCACTGCAGACAATGACTTGTTTTTAAACAGCTCTGGGGGAAAGTTGCAATCTGTCTCCTTGTTCCTTCATCTCAGTCAGTCAGTCCTGTCCACAGTGAAATGCGAACGTGCATCTGTGGTTAGATAGGCCTCTCTCTGCTTCTGACAGAGGACCTGGAGCCCAGAGAAAGTTTATAGGATCTCAGCATTTTGTTGTTGTTAATTGGTGGTGGTGGTAGTGGTGGTGGTGGTTGTGGTGCTTAAACTCCGGGCCTGGACATTGTCCCTGAGTTTTTTTGCTCAAGGCTAGTGCTCTACCACTTTGAGCCACAGCACCACTTCTGGTTTTCTGATGGTTAATTGGAGATAAGAGACCCACGGACTTTCCTGCCTGCCCTAACTGGCTTTGAGTTGTGATTTTCAAATCTTAGCCTCTTAAGTAGCTAGCATTACAGGTATGAGTCACCAGTGCCCACCTAAGGACCTCAGCATTTTAGCCCAGAGTTCCCCAAAGCACTATATTTTCCATTGTTCCCAGAACAAATTCAGTATTTAGGGACATGCTGTAGGTCAGCCAACTCACCTTGGGAACCAACTGCACTTAGCTTGTCATTAAGCATGGCAATCAGAGTTGGCCACCTGCCTGACATCAGGCCTAAGCTGGTTGTATGACCTTCATAACAAACTTTCTCATGCCTCCTTTAGGTGATTAGTATTAAAATAATCCAAGATGAAGCCAGGCATCTGTAATCCTAGCTAATCAAGAAGCTGAGATCTGAGAGTCATGGTTCAAAGTCAGCCAGGACAGCAAAGTCTATGAGACTCTTATCTCCAATTAATTACAATAATAATATTAATAGAATAATCAAAACAACAACAAACAAAAATCCTAAGTGACAAGCACACAGACCTTGAGTTCAAGCCCTAGGACTGGCATTAAAAAAAAGTTATTCCAAGATGAAACTATGGAGACTCATAGATTATGCAGAAATGTGGAGCACACCTCAGGCTGAACACTGATCCTGCGAGCTTTAGTTTCCCCAGCTGTAATGCTCCTGATGGTGTCACAAGGTGGCATGCTGACTCCAGAGTAAGGTTTCAGTCCTCAACCCTTGTCTCTTTCCAGCATCTGGCCCAGCAGCAGGGCCACACAGCATAGTTTCTAAAGCTCCAGCAGGAACCCAAGAACCTGTGCTACAGGAGGTGGGGGGGGGGGGGGAATGAAGGGGGGGCAGCTGTAATCGCTATGGGAGGGAGCCGGCACGGACCCAGCTGTCGTAACCAACCGCCCTGTGTCCAGGTACGAAAAGCTCATTGGCGGGAAGTACATGGGCGAGCTGGTGCGGCTGGTGCTGCTCAAGCTAGTGGATGAGAACCTGCTGTTCCACGGGGAGGCCTCGGAGCAGCTGCGCACGCGCGGCGCCTTCGAGACCCGATTTGTGTCCCAGGTGGAGAGGTGTGTGAATGGGACGGGGCCCAGGGCTGGGTGGCCAGAAGGGGAGGGGGCGGGCTCAGGGCGATCAGGGGAGGCGAGGGTCGGGCTCCGGGACTGGCAGGGCGGACCCGGGCAGAGGTGCAGACTCCAAGGGAGGGGCGGGGGCATCAGACCAGGGATACAGGACAGCAAAAAACAGCGGGTCCGCCACCCGGCAGGGTCGAACCACGACCCGGCAGCTGTCTACCCCGAGACCACCACTTGTCCACCCAACAGCGGGAGTGGGAGCTCCAAGCCAGACGGGGCCTCCTGCTGTCCAGGCTGGTGTTCGTCCTCGGCAGAACCCCCCCCACACACACACCAGCCCTCCCCGAAAGCCCTGTCCTGGGTGGGGTGCGTGGGTGGCGTCCCCTCCCCGGGGCGCGTGGGGGGGCTGAGCGACCCTCCCTCCCCTGCAGTGACCTGGGGGACCGCAAGCAGATCCACAACATCCTAAGCACGCTGGGGCTGCGGCCGTCCGCCACCGACTGCGACATCGTGCGCCGGGCCTGCGAGAGCGTGTCCACGCGCGCCGCGCACATGTGCTCGGCGGGGCTGGCGGGCGTCATCAACCGCATGCGCGAGAGCCGCAGCGAGGACGTGATGCGCATCACGGTGGGCGTGGACGGCTCGGTGTACAAGCTGCACCCAAGGTGAGCTGGCCTGCGCTGGAGGCCGGGGCCGGGGATGTGAGTGACCCCAGAGGAGGGCAGCGGGGATGGAGAGGGCGGGAGGGGAGACGGCAGCCTGGTCTCCCTCCTGTGCAGCTTCAAGGAGCGGTTTCACGCCAGCGTGCGCAGGTTGACGCCCAGCTGCGAGATCACCTTCATCGAGTCAGAGGAAGGCAGCGGCAGGGGCGCGGCCCTAGTCTCGGCGGTGGCCTGTAAGAAGGCTTGCATGCTGGGCCAGTGAGAGAGGAGCTGTAAGGGCAGGCTCCACCCCACAGGTGCTCCCAGCCCACTGAGGCAGGAGGCTTCCTGTCCTGCTGCTACCCCTGGAAGACGGGAAAAGACGCCTGGGAATCTAACGGGGCCTCCTCTCCAGTCCATCCGATCGGTGGGACTGAGGCCTTTCTCTTTGGAATTCACTTCCCAAAGGAGAGTTGCTCACTCAGGACTTCCATGCATCTCCACACTGCCACACTCTTACTGATGCCACCCACCCACCCAAGGGAGTGCCCTCTGGACCTTGCCATGGCCGGGACTCCCTGGGAACTCACTCTGCATGAGGAGGCAGCTCCAGCAGCTGGGCCAGCCCAGCCCTAGGCCCACAGCAGAACCAGCACTGTTGATCACCCAGGGCCCAAGAGACCAGCGAGTCGTCATAAGAGAAAACCCAGCTGTACAGCGGGGGCTTCCCAGGCTGTCAGTGCCTCCCAAGAGGGCTTTTCCTTCACATACTCTCACCCCGCAAGGGGCTTATAGTTTTGGAATGGACCTTACAGAAGACCCTGGAGAGCAGCCCCCAATCCTCTACACCAAGAGGCCTCCAAAGGGGAGGATGCCAGTCTGGCACCATGAGGAACTCCCCCTCCTCCACTCTCCCCTGCAGGATGGCATCCTCCATCCTCCACCTTCACTGCCCTGGTCCAGGAACTCCAAGAGACCACCGAGGATTACCTTCTTGTCCTAACTAGGCTTTCTATGTGCCATGCCACCCTCTTGATGCCCAACCTGGGATTGTGTGGGGTTTTTAATTAAATATTTTCAAAAATGTAAACATGTCTCATCCTCCCTTCTTTGACATCTGTGCCAGAGAACCACAGACACAGGGTAGGAAGATACCACACCATAAGCACACAGATGCTGTGTAAACCACAATGTGTCTTGGAATTCACTGTCGCCCCCTCCATCCATCCAGCTATGCCCAGAGTTTGTGGAGAGTGGCAGAATGGGCTGTAGAAATGGGAATGGATTAACACAGGAAGCTAGAGGCACTAGGCAGCAGCACGCTGGTAGGCCCAAGTCCCTGCCTGGCCATGGACATGTGCCTGAAGAAAAGGAGGGTCAGACCAGGTGCTGGTATAGAGTGGGGAAACAAGCTTCTTTACCTGTTAACTGTTAACCTGATGCAAGTATTTGTTCACCTCATTATCAGAACTAATGTGCTCATGTTGGAACAATTATATTTTGGAACAAGTTTTCATATAAATCAATTCTCAACATTTCCTATTCTCTTTCAACTTTCTCTTTCAATTGAAGTCCTTCTATTGTTTTTGAAAGTCTGCATAGGTAGGTTACACATCTATATTGAAAAAAAATGAGGGCTGGGAAGGTTGCTTAGTGGTAGAGTGCTTGCCTTGCATGCATGAGACCTTGGGTTCGATTCCTCAGCACCACATAAGCAGAAAAAGCTGCAAGTGGCACTGTGGCTCAAGTGGTAGAGTGCTAGCCTTGAAGAGTTGAGGGGCAGCACCCAGGCCCAGAGTTTAAGCCCCATGACCGACAAAAAAAAAAAGAATTTTGTCTACAGATAGTAAAGAAAGAATTATAAAAGTACTTATCCAAGCCAGGTGCTGGTGGCTCACATCTGTAATCCTAGCTATTCATGAGGCTGAGATCTGAGGATAGCCAGCCTAGATAGAAAAGTCCATGAGGCTCTTAATCAAGTAACCAGCAAAAAACCAGAAGTGGAAGTGTGATTCAAATGGTAGAGCACCAGCCTTGAGCCAAAAAGCTAAGGGAGAGTGCCCTGGCCCTCAGTTTAAGCCACAGTACCAGCATGAGAAGACAAAACCAAAACAACCAAGAGGAGGTCTTAGGCAAATGCATGAGAACATCTGTACTCTTCAGCCCACTGCTGTCAGATGTGGGCAGGCCTGGCATAGCTGAGCTAGGGTGAGCGTTAGCCAGCCAGCAAGCCCAGGCCCACAAAAAGCTGGCAGGGTTCCTGTTGTGGAACCCTCCCATGCCTTTGTCCACCACCAAAGGGGCCCTCACTTTCTTGGTGATGCAGGGAGCACTCCAGACTCCAAAAGCTTCATGCAAAACAGCACATAGGACCTTTTAGTACAGATATTAACCTGGCTGGGATGTTCAGGAGCAGGCAACAAACATCTGGCAAACACCAGGTTTCCAGTTCCCAGTTGGAGACAGAGAGAAGTTTCCCAAGGAGGTAGAGTCGATATAGGCCTTATGGGACAGTGAGAGACAAACACAGGTGGCAGGAATGTCTAATCAGGGCAAGCTGCAGCAGAGAAGGCATAGAGGTGGGCAGAGCAGACCATGGATCTTTCATCTGGCCCCAGAATTCTCCCAAAGCCAAGCAAAGGATTCTGTGAAGCTCACAGCCAGCTCAGAGCTGCCCCCATCCTTAGTCAGCAGGGCAAAATCTCTGAGAATCCCAGGGGTCTCAGACTATAGAGAACATCCTCAGAAACAGTCTTCTAAGCCTAGAGAATGAGAACTAGACTGGCAAGGGTGTGGCCTGGAGTTGTAGGAGGGACTGTAAGATGATGTAGAATAGAGACCCTTCATCAGCACTGAGAATAGAAACAGCTTTTGAGTAGCTCTGCTCTGGGAGGAGATCTGGTGCCCAGTCACACACCACACGATGAATGGATCCTGGGATGTTACACTTTGGGGACATGCAGGTCACCAGGAATGTGACTGGAATCTGTTTGGGGCTCTTGTTCTCCCCCACCCCAGGCAGGGGCTGCCAAGTTTGGCCCTGTCTTCTGTTTCTTTCCTTATTTGGACCTCCAGGTGATAAGACTGAGACATAAAGGGGGCCTGGCTGCAGGAAGATGCAGACAGGCTACCACAGAGAGGATGGTAAGTGCCCGATGAGAAATGAGGAGCCAGCAGCCCTTCCTTCCCATTGCCCCAAGGAGCCGGCCTTTGGGCTGGAAAGGGACAGAGGCAAAGATTTCTGTGTTGGGTCCAGGGAAAGGGTCTTTGGGGATAGAAGCTGAACCCTCACCCTGGCTCTCCTGGGAGTGCCTGAGGCTGTGCAAAGTGGGGAGGGAACTTTGAGGAGCTGGAGGAAAGATCCTTCCCATTTGTGATATTGCAGGCTAGCAGGAAGGCTGGGACTCGGAGCAAGGCCGCGGCCACCAAGCAGGCCCAAAGGGGCTCTTCAAATGTCTTTTCCATGTTTGAACAAGCCCAGATCCAGGAGTTCAAGGAAGTGAGTGCCCTTCCCACTCCCCCCAAGTCTCCTCTTCTTTGGAACCCATTCACTTCTGGGGGGAGAGGGGTTTCGATGGTCCCAGCCTCAACCTTGCTTCTCCGACCATCCACAACTCTCTTGACTTCCTGCGGCAGGGGTGGGGTGGGGGTGGGGATAGCTAACTCCTGAAAGCCCCTCCCCTAAGGCCTTCAGCTGTATCGACCAGAACCGGGATGGCATCATCTGCAAGTCAGACCTGAAGGAGACCTACTCCCAGCTTGGTATGTGTGCCCACCTCACACCTAGCCTGCTTCCCTGATGAGAGAGAATGAGAGCAAGAGAGCAGGAGGGGGGAGGGAGAGGGAAGAAGGGGGAAGGAGATTGTGTGGGAGAGAGAACAACTTCTTGCCCTTTCTTTCACTCCTCCCTCCCCCCCAGTCTAACTTTGCTTCCACCAAAACAGACCCTGCCTTTCCCCCTACTGGAAAGCAGGGGAGGGCAGCCTGAGCTCCTCTGGGATACCCAGACTCTATGTTCACTTGATACCCACCATCCCAGGGAAGGTGAGTGTCCCGGATGAGGAGCTAGATGCCATGCTGCAGGAAGGGAAGGGCCCCATCAACTTCACCGTCTTCCTCACACTCTTTGGGGAAAAGCTCAATGGTAAGCCGGGGGCAGGTCCATGCCAACAGTGAGCCTGAATCCCACCTGAGACTCACCCAAACCTAGTCTAAACCTGGCTGAGCATTATATGGCTCCTGCCTGGTCAAGGCCCACATACAGCATGTGGGGCACACCTCTTGGCTTCCTGGGCTCTAGTTACCCACCAATGGGGTGGTCTGAAAATGTTTAGCACCAAATCCTGGTCTCTCCGCCAGGCCTGCCCTCCTCGGGAAATGGCCATTCCCAGGCCAGTGTTCCCCAGGGGCTTGGTATTGGGGAATGTGCCCCTTCACCTTCTCTGGAGACACAGCCCAGCTTCCTTCTGGGTGGAGCCTGGAGTTGTGTGTGTTCCCCTGATGTCCTTGGTGTGCAGGCACAGACCCTGAAGAAGCCATCCTGAGTGCCTTCCGCATGTTCGACCCCAGCGGCCAAGGGGTGGTGAACAAGGATGAGTAAGTGTGCACTCCCTCACCACCCTGGACCGGCAGAGGGCAATCAGGCTGGTGAGGCCATTTGTGCTGGGGATTGCCTGGACCTTGAGCCTTTTTTGTACTTTGATGGGTATCTGGCCCTTCCCTATGCTATGGCCACCCTCTCTCCAGTCTGAGCCCCACCCCCGCCCCCCACTCTACTCTTGCAGGTTCAAGCAGCTTCTCCTAACCCAGGCAGACAAGTTCTCTCCAGCCGAGGTGAGGCTCCCTGGCGTGTTGACTCCTAGCTCCTCCCCAGATGGGCACTGAGGGGACTCCTGGGCCACTGCTGTGATCACCCAGGGCTCAGAACCCAGCCCTGGCGTCATCACAGGGTAACAGGGACCTTTCTGAAGGAGGCACCCTCTCTACTGAAACCTGGAGGGGTGGGGAGGAGTCAGAGGGGGGGTGGTCCACTCAGTACCCAGGGTGGGCTCTTTGACCTTTGACCCCTATTTGAGCTACCACCCAGTCTGTCAGGTATCAACAAGAGGCCATCTGTGGCTTGGAGTTGAAAAGCCCACAGCACAGCCCCAGGGGCCTCTTATGCCGAGTCTCTGCTGAGTGCTGCTTCCCACAGGTGGAGCAGATGTTTGCCCTGACCCCTATGGACCCAGCTGGCAACATTGACTACAAATCCCTGTGCTACATCATCACTCATGGGGATGAGAAAGAAGAGTAGTGGGCAGGAAGGGGAAACCTCAATAAATTCTGCTGCCAAATTAGAACTGTGGTACCGGCTTGTCTGTGACAAATGGGGTGGGGACCTGCGATATGGAGTCCAGTGTGGCCCATGCTGTGATAAAGACCACCTTGCACTTCATCTCACCTCAGTTCATTCCATATCACCAACTAAAGTAGGAGGCAGGATCACAGCCACTCAGCTGGGTACTCAGCAAACTCTTTGCCCAGCAGCCTAACCAGTGGCAGAGTCTTGGGGACCTCCCCTCCCCAGCCAACAGTCCCTCTCCCAGCCCACTGCCCACTGCCCTATTGGTATGCAGGCTCAAGTGGGCTTTGTGTGACAGGCACAGAAGAACCTGTGATAGAGTGCTTGCCTAGCATACACAAGACCCTGGGGTCAATCTCTGGGAAGAAAGGAAGAAAAGAAAGAAAGAAATGGTAGGCTGGGCATCCATGGCTCACATCTGTAATCCTAGTTACTCAAGAGGCTGAGATCTAAGGATCACGGTTCAAAGCCAGCCCAGGCAGGAAAGTCCTCATGAGATTCTGATCTCCCCAATCAACTCCTCAAAAACCAGAACTGGAAGTGGAGCTGTGGTTCACAGCGGTAGAGTGCTAGCCTTGAGCAAAAAAGAACTCAGGGACAGTGTCCATGCCATAAGTGCAAGCCTCATGATGGACAAAAGAAAAGAAAGAGGAAAGAAAGAGAAAAGAAAAGAAAGAAAGAAAGGAAGGGATTTTGTTGGTGGTGGTGATGGTGTTCACTTTTGACTTGGATTTTTTTTCTCTTGAGAGGTAAAAAGGGGGACAGAAGGGGAAGGAGGGTAAATAAATGCTATTCAGTAGATGCTATGTGGAAAATGACCTATATAACTTGTGGTCAAGGATGGGAGGAGGAAACTGAGGGAAAGCAAAGAAGGGGTGACACTGCCCCCAAAAAGAAATAAAATGGTTACCCCTCTGTACATTTTAGTAATAAGATGGGAAGGTGGCTCAGTGGTACAGTGCTTGCCTTGCATGCATGAGGCCCTGGGTTTGATTCCTCAGCATCACATAAAAAGAAAAAGCCAGAAGTGGCGCTGTGGCTCAAGTGGTAGAGCACTGGCCTTGAGCTGAAGAGCTGATGGACAGCACCCAGACCCAGAGTTCAGGTCCCACGACCGACAAAATAATTATATGAAAAGAATGTAAAAGAGAAAGAAAGGAAGGATGAGTAAGGGAGGGAGGGAGGAGAAAAAGGGAGTGGGGAGGGAAGAAGACAGAAAGGAATAGAATGGGGCTGGGAAGGTGGCTCAGTGGTAGAGTGCTTGCCTTGCATGCATGAGGCCCTGGGTTCGATTCCTCAGCACCACATAAGCAAAAAGAAAAAAGCCGGAAGTGGCGCTGTGGCTCAAGTGGTAGAGCGCTAGCCTTGGGCTGAAGAGCTGAGGGACAGCGCCCAGGCCCAGAGTTCAGGCCCCATGACTGGACCCCCCCCAAAAAAAAGAAAGGAATAGAAGAGAAGGAAAGAAATAAAGAGGGAGAGGAGGGTAGAGAGAGAGATTGAGAGAAAGATCCTCGAGAATGCATGGGAGGATGATGACATGATGAGAAATGGACACCAGATACCAGACCAGCACCTGCAGAAAATGCTAGAGGAAAGAATAGAAAGTGATCTCTTGCCTCAAGAACTGCTCATGCAAGGTATGGTGGAAAGGTCTTACACTGGAGAGTGAGGGGGAGGGACTCTTGTGAGTGTCCCCATCTCCTACTTCATTTGTGGGAACCAAGGACTCCTGAAGCAACCCCCCAGGGAGTAACCAAGAGAGCATCAATGACAGCACAGAGCTGGGCAGTGATCTCTGGGCTTTGCCCTCTCTCCCAGCCCTGCTACCATGTCTGTGGTGGGAGGTGGGGGTGAGTTGGCCACTGTCCCTTCACCTCAAAGAAAAAGTGTTTTTACCTAGAGAGAATTCAGTGTTGAGGGTCTGATTATGCCAGGTCTGGAGCTTGAACTCAAGGCCCACACACCCACTTTTCACTCAAGGTTGATGTTCCACTCCACTTTGCTATATAATTGGAGAAGAGTCTCTCAGATTTGTCTGTCTGGACTGGCCTCAAACTGAGATCCTCAGATCTGTCTCTTGATTAGCTAGGATCACAAGCGTGAGCAACTTGCACTCAGCTGAAATCATTATTTTCTAGATCTTTAATTACTATATGTATATCAAATGAGTTTTATTTCAAGGATGAGAACTTTGAGAATTTCAGATAGTTCATCCTCAGAAATACATGCTACTCAAGATTTTAACAGAATAGCAAAATCTGTAGATCTGCTAGTAAGTGGGAATTTCTATACTTGAACAAATGGTGAATCTCAAATACCACAAAGCAAAAAGTAAAAGTGTTCTATGATGTGTTGCTTTAAAAAAAATCAATGTAATACCAAGGCATAGTTTTGTTCTAACAGACATTTAAGTTACTTATCAACATAAGGAATGCACTGTGGGACAAAAATCAAACAATCCTCTCATATTACATAGATTTTGTTCCTTTTTTATTGGCTTTATTTTCAGAATTGTAGCTTTAGTTCTCTATTATTGCTATTCTTGCATATACTATTTACTTAATAAATGAGTTATGACTACTGAAAAAAGAATTAGCAAATAAAATCTTTGCCAAACATCCACCATATTTTGTATGTGAGTCATGATTTTTCCCTTTCAAAAACAAATCTGCTTTCTTACTGCTGTGTATGGGTGTGTGGTATGTGAATGGCATTTGGTATACAGTGTGAAGAGGCAGTGTTCTGTGATGCTGTGTGTGTATAGTGTGTGTGAGAGAGAGTATGTACATGATAAGAAACAGAAGGACTAAGAGAAACACAAAAGGGGACAGAGGACACAACTTCAGCTTAAGCTGTACCACCCAGGGCTACTGAACATTTGAAATGTGCCCAGTGTGACTTGCACTGTGTGTGCTACAAGTATAAAATGTACACCAGATTTTGAAGACTGAACATGAAAGAGACTCTAAAATTTCTCAATACTTTATTTTGATTACATGTTGAAATGACTATTTCTTTTCTTTTTGTAAATATAATTTTATGGTTATTATTAAGGCGTTGTACAGTGGAGTTAAAATTCCATCAGTCAGATAACGCATACAATTCTTCCTGGACAATGTCATCCCTTCCTTTGCTTTCTTCTAGTTTCCCCTGAAATTACAGTATTTTTGATACATTTGGTTAAATTTAAATAGTTTTTAAATTAAACGAAGCTATTTATTTTATCTCTTTGATGTGTTGCCAGAAAAAAGATTCTCGGATGGGGCAATGCTGTGCTTGAATTCAGGACCTTGTGCTTGTCAGTCAAGAGCTCTACTGCTGAGCCACACTTCCAACCTTTTTTTTGCACTTGTTATTTTGGGATAGAGTCTCATTCTTTTGCTATGGCAAAGCCTTGAGCTACAAGGCTATGCCACTGCTACCAGATTCTTCAAATGCAATTGAGTTTCAAAAACTTCTCCACACTGGGTGCCAGTGGCTCACACCTGTAATCCCAGCTACTCAGGAGGCTGAGATCTAAGGATCATGATTCAAAGCCAGCTGGGGCAGGAAAGTCCATGAGACTATCTCCAATTAACTACCAGAAAACTGGAAATGGTGCTGTGGCTCAAATGGTGGAGCACTCACCTTGAGCTGAAGAGTGCAGGAACAGCACCTAGGCCCAGAGTTCAAGCCCCACGATGAAAGAAAAAAGAAGGAAAGAGAGAGAGAGAGAGACAGAGAGAGAGGAAGGAAGGAAGGAAGGAAGAAAGGAAGAAAGGAAGGAAGGAAGGAAGGGAGGGAGGGAGGAAGGGAGGGAGGGAGGGAGGGAGGGAGGGAGAGAAAGAAACAACAACAAAAAACCAAAAACCACTTCTTTGCTAGGGCTGGCCTGGAATCTCAGTCATCCCAATATCAGCCTCCTACTTAGCTGGAATGACAAGTGCAGGCCATCAAATCCAGCTAACTACTGGGGGGGAAATAGCTTTCAAATTATATTTTTATTATCTTTACGTAGGTGTAGAGAGAGTTTACAATTAAACAAAACAGTTATAAGCACAATGCCATCACCCTTTCATCATTCTCCCTCACTTATCCTAGTTTCATTGGAAATGCATTGGAAAATTTGAATTATCTCTGTGGCTCACATTTCTGTCATGTAGCAGTAAGACTTCCTAATGTGGGCTGGGAAGGTGGCTCAGTGGTAGAGCGCTTGCCTTGCATGCATGAGGCCCTGGGTTCAATTCCTCAGCACCACATAAGAAGAAAAAGCTGGAAGTGGTGCTGTGACTCAAGTGGTAGAGCGCTAGTCTTGAGCTGAAGAGCTGAGGGACAGCGACCAAACCCAGAGTTCAAGCCCCACAATTCAAAAAAAAAAAAAAAGACTTCCTAATGTGTTTGTTTAGCTTGTAATTGTCTCAGGGATTTTCCTGCCCAGGCTGGCTTTGAACTGTGATCCTCAGAGCTCAGCCTCCTGAGTAGCTAGGATTACAGGCGTGAGCCACTGATGCCCAGCCCTAGGAATTCTTTTTAGGACCCAATTTTTTTGCACTGGGTGCCGGTGGTTCACACTTGTAATCCTAGCTATTCAGGAGGCTGAGATCTAAGGATCACAGTTGGAAGCCAGCCTGTGCTGAAAAGTCTGTGAGACTCATCTCCAATTAACCACCAGAAAATCGGAACTGGCACTGTGGTTCAAGTGGTAGAGCACTAGCCTTGAGCCAAAGAATCTCAGGGACAGCACCCAGGCTTTGCGTTCAAGCCCCAGGACTGGCACCAAAAAAAAGGAACAGAAAAAGCTCAAACCCTCTGTGTGTGGAGTGATCTCATGGTACCTAACTCAGTTGGTTAAAGGGAGAGTGTGTGAAGTGGCTACAGCTGGGAAGAGCCCTAGGCTGTTCCTGGGGTTGACTTGCTATGGCGGACTCCAGGGTAATGCCTTCATCAGGCTTACTGGTCTCTGTTGTGAGCCCTGCCTGGCCCAGGCCTGGGTCTCACCTGCATTGCCAAGTAGCGGCTCCC